CATCCACTTTGGAGAAGAGAAGGAGGACCAAAGCCATGCGCCAACTCAAACATGTGCAGACCACGCGCGAGACACATCGACGGGCAGGCATTCGTTGAGAATGGTGTGGTGTGGCTGGGATGCGTCGCGAGCTGCAGAGCGTCGCAGATGTAGCTAAGGGAATATATGTACTTCCTGCCTGAATCAACTCTTTGTTTTGCGCATTTTGCCAGCAATTGTGTTGAAAAATGGCAAAGTTTCAATGAATAGTGGTCCAGAATATCGATGAAATCGAAATCGTTCTAGCTTCAACGGATTCTGAGTGTCGAAGTCGAGTATCGGGGCGGCACAGGGAGACCTACTTAATGCGACGCCTTCTTGGAAGGAGGTTCACGCCACAGAGACTTGACAGTCTCGGTGACGCCAGCGCCTGTGACGTTGAGGGTGATGAGCCCCAAGAAAGTGACGACTGACACGCCGAGGACACCCGTGCGAACCAACGTTTGAAAGTTCTTGGGCACGTAGTCCGACACGGCGTTGTTGATACCGATATGGCTGTGCACGGGGATCAGCACCGCCAGCAAGTAGTCGACCGGCGTGTTCAACGCAGACGGGCTCAGCACGACCGCGGCAGGGACGAGCGCCAAGAGGCCGTAGCTCGTGTAGTGCATCACCTTGCTAGTGTGCTTGGAGTTGTCGGCTACGTTTCCACATTGCACGGTCATCCATCACGTCGTCGAAGGCAACAAGGCAAATGTACCATTGAGGACAGCATTGAACCCAGTGTCTGCCTTGTTTTCCGTAAACTTGGTGGGGTTGCCTGGGCAATCATAGACATGAGCACGGGCTCGTGAACCCGCATGACCGGCTCAATGTACGTACCTTTGCGGAAGCCTCGCGTTTGCGAGGCGGCGGCGCGGCGGACAGCAGTGGAGGAGATGCGGGCAAACATTTCAGACGGTCGGTCGACTGGACTGGCTGGAGTGGATATGAGGTGGCGGAACTGACTCCCGCAAGTACGCCGGAGTAAGTCCAATGGCTCTTCTAAGTTCGATTCGACGGGTCCCGAAGTGCACATCGTGCTCTGTCGCAGCTGCTAGCCAAGCCATCGCCATCTCGTGCCATCGGCGTCGCATCTCGGCCGCAGCATGTTGGTGACTGGACCATGTGACGATTCGTTACGTGTGCAGTCGGGGCCAGGATGGAGAGTGTGGCTTTCGTCCCATCAAAAAGAAGCTGCGATTGCATTGGCTAAAAACGCTTGCCATCATCCAATCAAAAATCGAGGAATCCGAGTGATTAATGTAGGCATTTAAACCATAATTTAATATGCGTACAACTTCAAACTTTAAACTGGCAATATATTTAAATTGTGTAAAATGCCCGAAATGTAGTCATTTCAGTATCTTACTAAGAGCCTATGAAAAGACATCAACCCGAACGCAACTCGGACGAGGCATACGACATCGATCATTTCCCCCCGGCAAGCTTCCATGTGCCCCGTACCTGTGCTGCTTTTCATGCTCGCCGCTCTTTGTGCGATCATTGGCCTTCGATATCGGACGACAGAAGACACAGCAGAGCTCAAGGAGGAAACAGACAACGCCACGATAGCAAAGAGCTCTTCGTCATCCGTCAAGCAGACGAGGCACAGCGTAGGTGGCACCACGGTCGCGATGCAGCGCAAGGCAACACACTCATGACATCGTAAGTGTTGAATAAATCAATGCTCAGCCTACTTGCAAGTGTCTCTGGACCAGCACGCTACAAGAGAACGGCTAAGTCACTGCACGCAAGATCGATGGAGTTGCTTGGATGGGTTACTCCTTGTGTGGAAGGCACGCCGTCGACGAAGGCAGCTTCGACGTGGCTGAATCAAACATGATCTTTTGACCAAGCTCAAGGAAAGGTGTGCGCAGTTGGGCTACGTGTGCGTGTTGGGATCGCGGACTTGCGATGCCGCGGCTTCGTGCGCAGCCATGCAACCGGTGCCGCCACGCAAGATCAACGGCGCTGTGACACGAGAACGTCAAATTCAACGTGGGACACAATGAAATGGGACGGACCAATGTGGCACCGACTTAGGACGGATTCGACAGCGTGCCGCTGGTTACCATGTCATCTGCGTTGACGAGCCCACGAAACTTGAACTCTGTGAACTCATGGTAACACCACCTTGCCAAAGCACGCGCAGTAGGGTCCTGACAAAGGACGTATATGCGTCGAGCAAGATCTTGCGTGGTGCTGTCGCCATCACGTCAAATTGGACGTGCTTTCCCGAATGCAGCGACGGGATGCCGAGTCGACGGCATGCCCGAATTCATATACACAGTGTCATGGGAAAATCGCGGCAACAAAAGAGCTTCGCGTGCTCCGAAGATGCTCACGCAACGTCATCTTTTCCAACCAGGTGCGTTTTGCCACTCCATCGTCGCTAAGGCAATTCCAATCATTAAACAAATCGACAGGAAGCCTACGACGAAGGCGCGCCGTGCACACTTCCAGCAGTCCCAGCTGCAACCATGCTTCCGTCATGTTCGATGGATTCCAGACGTGAATCGGTGGCACTTGTGCCAAGCTGTCCTTCGATCTGTGGGTGCTGTCGTCGGTCGCGTCGTACTCACTGGGCTTTGCAACAAAGGGCGGGCGGCGTCCACACAATTCTCCACTGCGTCCTCCCAACGCGTCGACGAGGCTGCGCTCGTCCGTTCAAACCCAAGCATGCTTGTGGCCAAAGTGAACGACTCTGGGCTTCTTGACGCGTGTATTCTCGGACTCGGCATGGAGTTCTACTTTGTCAAAGACACCGACGCCGGCACAAACCGATACATGCTGCTCGACGTCGCCCGACGTCTCGGGCTGCCTCGTTCTACTCTTGTCCTTTTGCATGGACTGCTGGCATGTCAGCGCTGTTCATGTTGCTCGTTGGTCGCAGGAATGGCAAGGTAGGCGCGTGGCCGACAGAGCTCTCTTGATGCAGGGAGTGCTGGCCTCTCGTACGACGAGCGCGCCCTTTGAGCCTCCCATCCACAGGACGCACCCACCTCTTTGTCCAAGTTGCAAGCGTCAGTGGCATTAACCATGCATGCGGGGGGCTGCAACGAAGGGTACAAAGGAGTGATCGTTTACACGAGGACAATGCGGCTTTGTCCATGAGGGGGGGGGCATCTACGCTAGTGCATGATCTTGATGCCGTGGAGGTTGCTCGGTTTCACAGAAAAGATCAGCTTCACTGGGACGCCGTCCATCGTGACGGGCGACGCGTTGAAGTACAGACTGGCCTTGTACCGGGCCTCGTCCGTACCGTCGATGTGGAGATCGGCGACGCGCTTGAGCGATACGACGCAGTGACCGACGACACTTTCGTGGCGCACCCACACGAGCATGTGCAAGTCCTGGAGACTTCGCTCGTGGTGCAGTTTGACGTTGAGGCTGAGTGTTGCAACGTTCGTGATGGAAATGTTGCGTTCGCCCGTGGCTTCGGTCTGTCGATTCAAATCGTCTTCGCCCATGAGCGGCGCCACGACCCGCGTCTTTTTTGGGACGTGGGAATGGCTGCCCCACGTGACAACCTACGCCGGCACGTCACCATGCCGCATATCGAGTTATCGTGGCGTACCATGTTGAACAGGGTGAGCACGGTTGTGATCGGTCCGTGGGGGCCACCGCCGTAGGACGGGCCTTGCAGACGGACGTTTGGGCGCAGATCGGTGTACGAACTCACTCCGTCTAGACAAGATCACGTCACGGATAACGTCACGAACGCGAGTCACCTGGGACCCCAGGAAGCGACAGCCCCTTGTCGCCACGGATGCCGGCCATGGACGGCCGCACGAATTTGAGCAGCATGGTGCAAGTGACGGGGCTATGGTCCGACACATCCATCCCCACTCCGTCGTTAATGCTCTGGTAGTTGTCCACCCATCGGCCTTGCATGAACGGGCACGGGACCTTCTCCGCGACGAGATCGGAATTTCGCATTGGCGTCGAGTAGACCAAGATGCGATCGCACCACCCAGGCACACGCTTCTTGACTTGACCGCCTACATAGTCATCCACGTCGTCATCGTTGCCACATGCAACCGAACGATTCATGCATGGCAGAGCGCGCCAAGTGCGGCGGCACCATCATCCATCCCCAACAAACCGTGACGTCCATGTAAACGACGCCTTGCTTTGTGGATCACACGAGCTCGCATGGACATTCTGTCGGCGATCGATCGTACCTTTGTAGAATGGCTCCTTGTACAGCACGCGGTAGACGCGCTCGGGCCAGTTTGGATCGTGCATGTCGACATTTCCCCGGAGCGGAAACTTTTTGTACGTCGGGTAAAAGTTGTGAAATTTGTCGGGCTCTTTGAAGCCTTCAAAGATGCCTTGCTTGCGGTCGTTCAAGAGACCATCGCCGCGCTCGTGGAGCTCCTCGATCCGGTCTTCACTCAAGAGTCGACACACCTCGGACGCATCCATCTTGACAATGCGGTAGTTGAGGTCTCCCATCCACACAATATGGTGAAATTGCTGTGTCAGGTCAAAGTATGGATGCCCCATGACTTTGCCCAAGTTCGTGTTGAGAAGTCGGATCTGTTCCCGGCGGTATGTATCGTTGCGCGCGTCCAGGTGGCAGTTGATGAAGCACAGAGTCGTGTGCTTGACCTTGAGCGCGACGGCGACCCCGCCCTTTGAACCCGACGCAATGTTGAACTTGTGCAGCCCCGCACGCAGCACTTGGACGTCTGCCGAGACATGCTCCCCGCAAAAGACCGCCATGCCCGTAAACTTGGTGCCCATGAACGCACCGTCGCCGCGGCCGCGGACCGCGTCGAACACGGCGTCGACGGGCGCTTGTTTGTTGGGCAGCACGACTTTATCGTTCCGGAGTTCCTTGCGCTGGTATCGCAGCAACTGCGGATTCCGATTCAAGTATGCTTGAATGGCAAAGTAAACGTTCTCGTTCACGCCTTCTTGGACCCCCAACACGTACAAGTCGTACCCGACGGGAACGAGATGCCGCACCATGCGGGAGGTGTCGGCATCGTCCATGAGACCCCGCGAGTCGCTGAATGGATCGGCGGCACCAAGGTTCCATGTTCCAATCCAAATCGAAATGTCGCCTTCTTGGCGGGTCCCCGCGGCCGAGTACTCGTACTTGGCGTTCTCTGAGTGTGCATGGTGCAGTTGTGGCTTGCGTCCCGACGATGCGGGAGTCGTCGTGGATGGGGCTTGAACCGACGGACCAGGAACGGGCGGCGACGACGACGGCTTGGTGTGGTAGGGTTTATAGGAAGAAGGCGACGTGGGGATCGCGGAACGAGGTGGATACCGATGGGGCATCGGGACTTGGTACTGTGGAGGCGAGTACAGTGCTGTCGCCATGTATGGCCCTGTTACGTTACCATGATGGAGCTGGTCCTGGCGCACCATGTCCTTGGGTGGGGAAACTGGGACCCTTCGGTCGTCGGCGTACGAGGGAGTCGATCGAGGTGGAGGGGCAAACAGGTAAGGGGCCGGCGCCGGCAACGTGGACAAAGTTGGGGCAGCTTGAACATTGCGTGACGATACGTCGCTACGACAGCTATCATCGATCTGGTCGTCGTCGTCATCGTCGAACCGTTGGCCACCCATGAACCCGGTCGTGATGGACACACCTTGCTGCTGCTCGTAATCGTCCATGTACCCGATGGAGCTACTGTCGTCTTCGTCTAAGTCATCAAAGTTCATTTGTTCCATGAATTGCGTCGATTGGAATGTCCCCGACGCGACGTGCACGAGGTTGGGCGGGTGGGGCGACGAAGACACTGGCGCCTGGGGTTGGGATGTGCTGCGTGGGAGGCGAATCGTCGAAGTTGGATCTTCGTAGTGCATGGGACGGGCATGGTGCTCCAAAGAGTCGACGCTGTTCCAGCTCAAGTTTTTCCGCAACATCGCAGCCGCGTCAGTCGACTTGTAGTACGCTACTTCGTTGAACGGATGCGACGCGAGCGGTGACCCCGACCCGGGACGTCCACGAGTCTGACGATTCTTTTGGGACGCCGCTGCCGCTGCCGCGATTAAGTCTCGGCCTCCACCACCACTGGACGGTGTCCCTGCTGCCGATCCACAGAGTTGGTAAAGGTCTTGACTGCTTCCACGTTGTGGCAGGTACGTCATTCCGCCAGTTCGATGTGGGCTCGTGATTCTTTCTTGCGCATACAAGTTCGTGTTGCTCCCACGTTGGCCGACAGGGATCCCCGAGTGATAAAGTCCACCTCCTTGGCCATGGGAAGGCGTGCCGTTGCTCGTCCGACTGGAAGACGACGTCGGTGGGTACATGGACGTTGACGCTTTCGGGACAACGTAGTCGATTTTCTGCTGCTGCATCCTCATTTTCTGCATCTTGTCTTGGAGGTCATGCGTGCTCATGATCCTCGCCACGCCGCCGCCGGGGTGACGTCTCGGTCTCGCACGCCGCGGTATCGGTTTTACGACAAGCGTAAGAAATCGGGTGCAGTTCGATTATGCGTACACCGTACAAAATGTACGTACTATGTACTATGATACAGTATACTAACATTGTCGTAATGTTCGAGTTCGACGATGGACTGCGGTGGCACAGGCGGCAGCCAACGCCGGCCCCAAATCCATTTTGATTCAATCCAGCGGCACAACCATGTTGCGTCCCGGGCGGCGGCGTCCCGCGAGGACAGACGCAGACAGGGGATAGCGCACGTGAACATGAAGATTGCATTTATGTTCTTTGTAGTCGCTGATCCAGAGCCGAAGCACTTGATTTGCGTCAACGACGTGCTAACGAGACGTCCCTAACTGGTGTGCATTTCATTGCACAGGAATAACACGTTTTGTTGGGTACACAGCCGCAATTAATGGCGGCGGATACGAAGCATGAAATGTGCGGATCGTACGTGATATACACCTGGTCCTCAACAATGTCCGGCACAGAACGACTGCGATGCGCGCAGGAGGGACTCCGTGCAACAAAGTCGTGATATACTGAAAGAGCACGCCAAGAATGCATCCAACAGATACATTTGTGCGTTCGGTACCCACATCCCGTGGTCTTATGCAAAGCTTCTTCATCTACATTGCCATTGCGTTTGTATCGCGTATCATGGTTGAGTCCCCTGGTGTGTTGGCGAACTCATGCTATGACGACAAGCACAGAGCTACACTTCAGACGGTTCACTTGCCCGAGTCGACGCAGTTGGCATCACTTGGAGCGCATCGCACACGCACGAACATTTTCCTTCATACGTGCTTGTACTTGGCGTCTACTTCATGCATTGGATGGAGTCAGCGCAGCAGGACCTTGCCCACCACCATGACGTTGCGTCATGAAGGCGACAGGATCGATTCTGCCGCTCTGCAACCGTCGATTAAGCCCCCCTCCGTGTCTGATTCTTGAATTGACCAATGAAATTAAGGAAAGTCAAGTTTGGCCCAATCAAATCCCAAGGATACCATCGCCTTCAAGAAGGGGTGGGGGATCAAGATTCACTTGATTTTTGTATGGATAGGTGCGCGCCATGGAATCGTCCACGTGGCCAAAAGGATTCTCGTCAAGTCCACGTGTCATGAAAAACTTGATCTTTGTATGCATGGGACCTCAAGCTGTATAACTCTATGGAAATGTCAAAGATCAAGGGGAATCTCAGCCTCTTATATACAAATTTATACATGCGGAATTGTGTTTCAATGCGGTATACATTGAGACAGATTCCATTGTGTCGTGCCTGCCGAGCCGATCCATGGTCACTTTCGCTTTTGCTGGGATCACCGAAGATGCGATTTTTCACGACGATCTCCGCCTTGCTCATGCTTGGCCTTGCCGCCGTCTCTGGCGCCACCATTGAAGAAGAAGAAAACGTCCTCGTGTTGACAGATGATAACTTCGACGAAGCTGTCACTTCCAATGAATTCTTGTTGGTGGAGTTTTACGCCCCTTGGTGCGGCCATTGCAAGTCGTTGGCCCCCGAATACGCCAAGGCAGCCTCTGCGTTGTTGGAACACGACCCTCCCTTCCGGATTGCCAAGTTGGACGCGACCGCACATTCCAAGACCAGCGAAAAGTACGGCGTCTCTGGTTACCCGACCTTGAAGTTCTTTAAGGGGGACGTTGACCCGACTGCCGTCAAGGCATTCACTGGTGGTCGTACCGCTGACGAAATTGAAAAGTGGGTGATTAAGAACTCTGGCCCCGCGGTGAAGATCATTGAAAGCGCTGAAGAATTGGAAAAATTGACTGAAGCCAACGATGTTGTCGTGTTAGCCCATATCGATTCGGTCACTGGTACCCAAAAGGATATCTTGGAAAAGGTCGCAGACGGTGAAGAAGTTGCCGTCATTGTTGCCACCACCGATGCTTCGTTGCACGCTGATGTCAAGACTGCCGGTTCGGTTGTCTTGTTCAAGAAGTTCGACGAGAAGAAGGTTGTGTATGAAGGTGAATTCAACAAGCAGGACATCTCTGCTTTCGTCGCCGACAACAACAAGCCTCTTGTCATGGTGTTCGCCCAAGAAAAGGCTTCGCAAATCTTTGGCGGTAACATTCAAGTCCACATGCTCGTGTTTGCCGATTCGTCCAAGGACTACTACGAAACCCTCGTGCAATCGGTGACTGAAACCGCTGCCGCCAACAAGGGCAAGATCTTGCATGTGGTTGTTCCTCCCTCTGAAACTCGCATTGTCGACTATTTCAGCTTGAAGGAAGCTGATATGCCTGCAATCATTTTGGTGAACATGGCCGCTGGCATGAAGAAGTACCCTTACCCTGTCAAGGCTGCCGAGCTGACTGAATCGTTGACCACTGCCACCTTGTCCAAGTTCGAAGCCGACTACTTGTCGGGCGAGTTGAAGCCTACCCTCAAGTCGGCGGAACCGTACGACGACAGTAACGAAGCCGTCAAGGTTATCTCGGGCAAGGAATTTGAATCCCGCGTCATTGACAACAAGAAGGACGTGTTGTTGGAATTCTATGCTCCTTGGTGCGGCCACTGCAAGTCGTTGGCCCCCAAGTACGACGAATTGGCCGAAAACTTTGCGTCCGTCGAGAGCATTATGATTGCCAAGATGGACGCTACCGAAAACGAAGTGGACCACCCCAACGTCGACGTCAAGGGCTTCCCCACCATCTTTTTCTTCCCCGCCAACGACAAGGCCAACCCCATCCCGTATGAAGGTGCCCGCGACGTCGCTGGATTCACTGAATTCTTGAAGAAGCATGCCACCAAGTTCACCTTGGACGGTGAAACCCACGGTGTAGACCACGATGAACTTTAAACTATAGGAACACTGGAGACATTGCTTGGTAATATAGTGTTTGCGGCGCCATGGAATTGAATCGGGACACAAGGTCTACCAGAATGGGACGAACGGCGCATACCAGCACAACACGGTAAAGTTGTGCGGATCAATCGAGACGAAGCATGCATTGTAGGGAGAGTCCGGCTTGGGAAAGAGCTGCCGAGTCGACTTGGACACGTCCTGGTTGTTGTGGCCGTCGTTGCTGCCTGGAGTGTGCAAGAGGTAGACGTGCGACATCACTGCAAGGGGTGTTGGTGCTTTTGCGTCGTCCGTCGTCGACTTCTTTTGCACCGACACGAGCGCCTTGTACACGAGTTTCGTCATGTTCAAGTACGGCTGGAGCGTTTCGTCATGCTGAGCCATGGCCCCCCCAATGACCAGTCGCTTAAAAACTTGAAAGATGGCTTCATCTTGCTCCGACGCGGAGAAAAAGCCTGCATGGTCCGAAAGTGGATTCACGACCATGTCTCGGAGGCTGTCGTTGACAGTGCAATCGTCGTACACTTCGTCCATGCAGCGTCGAAGCACTCCCCCTGACGACACAATCGCTATGGCGGGAGGTGAAGAGAGACATGGGGAGTGACACCATACCGGGACTCGCTTCGAGTTTGTTGAAGAATTCCATGCTTAGGACATTCGTCTTGAGCTTTCGGAATGACAAGTCGTCCAAAGTCGACGGCACCGTTGAGGGAAACTATGGTTTGCCTTAAGAACTGATACAAATTATGTGCTTCACCGACCGGGACACTTGCCCGCACGGACTTGCTTTCAAAAAACGCGCGAAGGAATGCAGTGGCGTTGGCAGGGTCAAATTTCCCGCGCATGCGGAATCGCTTGACGCCACCGTGCTGGTCCAAGTTCCTGTTCGAATTGGCGTTAGCAGATGTGACTGATGCCGCGAACGTACCATTGCATGAGCTTCAACTTCATTTCGCCGGTTTCCCACGGCGATGTCTTGACAGGAATTGACTCGAAGGTGTACCGAGCCCCCTCGTCATGCGCCGTTGCCATGGTTCGCGCTGGAGAATGGGCAAATGTTCCACGCAATCGCTGCATTTCCGGATAAAGATCGCGACCTTTCCATGGATATATTCTGATTGGCTGAAAGCGGCTACATCCGTGGATGAATTTTTTAAATATCGCACGAAAACGAAAATATATGCGTAGCAATATTTCGGGGTTTCTGGTTGTTCTGATAATCCTGAGTTCTCCTTGGAACACAGGTGGCTATCGTAGAGTTGTGTGGTTCGTTCGTTTACCAGGGTTTATCACCACGTCGGGCCATATATATATGATATTATTCCAGGGAAAGGATACGCACTGCTTCGTTCCGAGAAAGGTTCTTTCGATAGGGCAAACGTTTTTGAATATTTTCGGCCATCGTATATTCCTATTTGAAGACTATTTCTTGGTTTTTCGAATTCGCTCGAACTGTGACGAACTTAATGGGATCACATCCGTTTCATAGCGAAAGTTGCAGACATCTTGACATCGTGAGGCCATGAACATCTCAACGGAGGAGGATGCGGCGGCGGTTGTCCCGTTTGGCACGTTGCTGGGTGTCTCAGATGGCGGCGTGGAATTGTATAACTGCGACTACTCGACACTCCCACCTCCAGACATGCTGGACCGCGCGAGCTTTAAGAACGAGCACAATGGCGTGACAACTGGATACAAGTGGCAATGCGTCGAGCTCGGGCGTCGGTACTTGCTCGTGAACTTTGGCGTGATATACGACAACATCGCGATGGCGTACGACATCTTCCGCCTCAAGACGGTACGTCGTGTTGCGGACGGTCAGTTGGTACCGATGGTTTCCAACGTGAACGGCGAATCCACCGACCTACCCGTGAAGGGGTCGCTCCTGATCTGGAACCCCGTCGGCGAGTTTGTCCACACGGGTCACATTGCTGTCATTGTGAACGTCGAAGTCGACTACGTGGACATTGTCGAGCAAAACGTGGACGACACGATTTGGCCGCCCGGCGTCAACTACTCCCGACGGCTCAAGGCCGACTTGAACGAAGTCACTGGGGCATACACCATCACATGCACATTCCCTGACTCGTCCATCCTCGGTTGGATGACAATTGACATGCACACAGAGTACAACTACGAAGACGTGCCAATCGCGACGCCGTCGCAAGACCTGCATCTGCGAAACGTCACCCTGACAGAGGTAGATTCCTCCACTGCCATGACCTCGCCATGTCGACAATTTCTTCGCTTAGACGCAGCTAGCGACGCCGTGGATGAACCCCGACCTGCCCTACGTGCAAGCATTCCAATCGGCGTTCGGGTCCGCCCTCGCGTCGTCGCCAAACTCGGCGTACTTTTGCCTGACTACGCGGGGCCAAGCCGCGCTCGAGTACGCGACCGAGCATCTCCATCACATGTTCTTGGACGCGACCGATTACGTACTGCACCACGAGAAGGAACTTGGCCACTACTTTCGCCTGCCCCCCGCGCTCTGGCCACGCATACGCCGGTCCTGGTTCCGCCGCAAGCCAGACGTCCTCGCCGGGCGCTTTGACTTTGCCCTCACGGAAAACGGTGTCAAGGTGTACGAGTACAACGCGGACTCGGCGTCGTGTCTCATGGAGTGTGGGTACAACCAAGACGCGTGGGCGGCGGTGGTTGGTCTGCCCGGCACGTCCAACAGCTCAAATCTGTTCCAGAAACTCACACATGGATGGGTGCTCAAGAATGTACAAGGCCCGCTCCACCTCCTGTGCGATGTCGACCCCGAAGAGCAATACCACACCGAGTACATGAAAGCTGCCGCCGAGGCCGCAGGCCTCACGTGCTATGTCGTCGTGGGGGTCGACACATTAGAACGCCACGGGTACGCATGTCTCATCATGTTCCAAGACCCGATCGATTTGCCGTGCTCCAAAGTCTGTTGCTGAGTCCGCCACGTGGCCATCGACGAGATGCTGCGCCTGATCCGACGTCCACAAACGACAGGACGCTCGGTATCATGCCAGATCACGAACCGCGATGCCGGGGCATTCGACTTTGTGTTCGGAGGTTGCGATGCGAAAGAATGTGTGGTTGCGGTGACGTTGTCTGGTACTGATTCTGACGGGGATCTCATGCTCTAGCCAAGACATTGTGGACATGACACACAACGTCAACGTTCGAAACGTGTGGAAGACGTGGTCTTGGCGCACCGCCATCGACCAGCTGAGCGACGACGAATGGCAACATTTTCTCATGGACGATGTCGCGGACCCGAAGGGCTTGACGACGCCCAAGTTGCGGCCCGCACACCCCGGCACGACCGCCGTCAAGCTCGTGGACGTGCTGCTGCACCCTGCCATTCGTATTTTCGAGCCTCTCTGGACAATCTTGGCCAGTTCAAAAGCAATTTTGCCAGTTCTGTCGACGCTGTACCCGAACCACCCCATGCTCCTTCGGTCGTCGTTTACGCTGACGCCCGAGTTGGAACAATCAGGGTATGTGACCAAACCAGTGGCCGGTCGCGCGGGGGAAAACGTAGCCGTCGTGGCGGCCGACGGCACAACGCTGATAGCGTCCGAGGGACAATGGGCCGACGACACCCCAATCTATCAAGAGCTGGCACTCCTTCCCACCTACGGAGATCGTGGCAACGTCCAGCTCGGCACGTGGGCAATTTCCGGTGCCTACGCGGGTACAGTCGTCCGGGCCGATCCGTCGCCCATTATTCGAATGAACTCGGACGTGTACGCAGTGCGCGTCGTCGACGACAGCCCGCCCAAGGACCAAATCCCCAAGGCCGCAGCATAGGTTGGTGGTAGGGCCAAGGCACTGGCCACGGTCGACTGCCGCAGCCCACTTTCCTGGACACGTCGAGCAGACGTGGGGGTTGATGTACACGCGTTAGAAGGATTGATTGCAGTAACTAGACCACCGAGTTCGGATTGCTTCTTGTTGAACGTCACATGCTTGCTACACCTGATGTTGTCCTCGGTCCCGCCACGGTCACGTGGGTCTCACCGCTGGACGTCGCAATTCCAGGTCTGTGGGACACGGCGCTCTCATCGCCCACACCACAGATATCGCAGCGAGATGACGCCGGTTTTGAAATTGCTAAGAGCGAGCGGCGCCTGCTGCAGAGCAAGTTGACAACGGTGTCGGGGATGGATCAAACTAGCCCTTTGTGACGAGATCCGCTCGATTCAGCATGTTGCTCCAGTACCAGTTAGTCACAATGATGTCGAAGGACCGAAAGTGAATGCTTCTCAATCACAGGCATGATGTCTCGATAGCCCCTTATCAATGACATCAGAGTTTCCAGTGCCGTCTGTAATTGAACTCTTCGTCGGCCGTGTCAAACTCATGCGGGTGCCGCAGTGCAGTGTCGTTGGGGCTGTAGATCGCGTGAGTTTGAAGGACGAGGCGGGTGTTGGGCGCGCGCCATCTAGTCATTGTCACGACCACGTCATCCCCACCACGACAAGCTTGCATGTGGAATACCGGCTTGTGACGCGAAATTTGAACTGCACAATGCTATGGCCCACATGCGCCACGACGTGCAATTGGCCTTGGTGGAACGAGTACGTGCCTTCCCACACGTCCTTGGATCGCGTGCGGAACGCTTCGCCCATCTGCCGTGCGATGTCATCGTGACATTCCACGTACCGCTACCTACCTCGCGGGGGTGGCGATGCGTCATCGCGTACAACACTGTACCGTTCCGGTGAAAGCAAAAGTATCGATAGTAGATCGCCTGTACCGGGCAGAGGGTTGGAACCATCGAATGAAGTGAAGCCAAGATGACGTCATCGAACGATGGCGGGATCGGCGACCCACCTGGAGGATGGCATTTTTTGGCAAATCCGACCACATATTGATCTCGGGTTTCTTGTAGTACGACAGACGCAATACGTAAAACCCTACGAAGGCGACGCATCAGAAATGGTTGCCACGACAGCATTCTCGGTGACGTGTCACGAGGGGCGTCCAGGCGTTCGAGCGCACCATGGTACTTGACGCGTGGCCGGGCAAAAAACATGTGCATCCAGCTCTTGTATCGCCGCAGCTGTACAGGGCGTCCCTTGGCCTGGATGGAAAAAACCCGATGGCACATCATGGCCCAAACCAAATCTAACAGCGAAGTACACAAGATTGTGCATGGATTGAAGAGGTATTCGTGGCGAACGTACCCGTTCGGGCGACGGCGTGGAAGCGATGGCAAGTGCTGCTGAAGAGCCCGATCGAGTCTTCATCCAAATACTCGAGGACAAGTTGCAACATTCTTTCAGGGAGGTGGCAAATTGGAACAGAAGCATTCACGTCGTCGTCGAAGGCCGATTCGACAATTCGAACCTCGGTGAGGTCCGTATTCTCCCCCGCCGAGTCTTCAGTGGTATCGTCGTCGTCCACTCCTGTTTCATTTTCGTCTGAGAGTGTATGATTCATTCCGTCCGTCGATAGATGGTCCTGCGACGGCGCCGGAGACGAAACTGCGAGATAGCGCATGCGCCACTCGGCGTCCACGATTTGCGCAAGAAAGTCAGGTCTACAAGTAGAAACGAAGCATCAACAGACGCATTCATCTAAACGACAATTTACTGGAGCGATTCGTTAAGGGCGCGCTCCAGCTCTTCGGCCGCTTCGTCGCGGCGGGTGCGGACGCGCGGTGGTTCTGCTATTGTTGCCATCGTGCCAAGTCTCGGAGTGAAGTTTGCTGCATGCTGAAGTTTATCCGGATGATTGGGTGATATTATTTTTCCGCAACTGTTAGCACTCGAATTAGTTGTAACTATGACCTCTCTAATTAAATGTTATCCAACCGGATAGCAACCGGATACCCAAGTTGATATCCAAGGAATGTTCTTCCAGCAAACTGAAAGTTCCATTGTTGTGGACGCGGTGGCGAACGAGAGATGGGGTCTTCGGGCAAGTGCGCGTGAGCTGCTGTGTGTGGCCGACAGCCCTTGCTGTGTTTGTGTTGTGGTGACGAGAAGATGTTGGATGCGATGAACCGTTTATGGGGGCACCTTACTAGTTCCTCGCCATATCACGTTGTGAGTGTCTGCGTGTCCAACGGTCGTGCGGAGGTTCGAAGCCCGTCGGCGCCACTGTAGCTTACAATCGAAGAGAGCTAGATCAGGAGCTGGTCGTGGACACATCTCGCGACGACTGGGCGCATGAATGGCCACAACGACCCGTGGTAACTTGCCGCAATTGGCATTGCTAGCCCTCATCCTGCTGAGAACTTTCACGTGGGCTAGTGCCAGCAGAGATTAAACGCATACGAGTGGCTGAAGCCGACATGAAAGAGTTGGCATTTTGTCTAATGGTCGCTATCCAAGCATATCGCGCAGGCCACTGGTTTCGACAGCGCCGTCGTCGTGTTTGGTGAGTTGGTTGGCACGGTAGCTCAAGTACGTGGTCCAGATGACGTTGCCGGCGTTCATGACGAGAGGACGATGGGGCAGCGGCACGAATGAAAAGTTGATCACGTTTAATGGCCCCCAGAAGAAGTTGCCGTCCATCCACAGAGACGGGGTCTTGTCCCGCATGTTCTGCAGGGCTTTGCCACAAGCTTCGCTCGACTAGCAAGATATACCGTGAGCTCCATGTTTGCACGACTCATCGCTCACCGACTCAGTACTCGCGCCGTTGTGGTATCGAACCCATCCGTTGAAGAAAGCAATGCTCATAGGGGCATAGATCAAATGCTGCGCCAGAACCTTCTTGATCACTGTGACTGCGTTCGCCCCTGGCCATAGCGCATCGAGGCGGCCAAACCAAAAGTGCAACGCAGGGCCTTGAAGGATCAAACCGTAGGTTGCCGTCAGGAGAACGCGGGACAACGAAACGGTGTTCGAGTCCGACGCAATACACTGCGCCGACACATCCCCAACTCCAAAGATCGCACCGGTCGCCACGGCCTTCGTCGCCAGTGGATACCGATGGACGAGGCGGGTGTAGATGGTCATCGTCGATGCCAAAGTGAATGTAAGCCGGGTATACGATAGGTAGACCAACGACTAATCGCATGGCCGGACAAAAAATATTCGTATTTCTCTGTGGGATTTTTTCCTTTTCCCAGCAATTGTTTACAACGTAGAGCAAAGTACTTGGCATTCAACCTTGAGTCTGGCTAACAGTATACATGTAGTGGGAACTTTTGAGACATGCTGAATAGTTGAAGTTGAGTAAAACCTCCATAATTTCATTGTAGAGCAACGAAATTGATTATTGATTTACAAAGAGTAGAAGTAAAAGAGAAAAATTTTGGGCTTGTTTCAATTCAAGGAGCAGATTTATGTCATACAGTTTAAGAGTAAATCCCTTTCAAGAGTGTTTATTCATTTTCGGCGCCTTGAAATACTACTCTGGTCCATAATAGTTGTTAGCAAGTTTTTCACTGGATTAAAGTATGAGTAACCATCAGGAAATATCTTAAAATTTGTATGTCACTTCAGAAACGAATATGAAAGGGAAAAAAT